AAGTGGTAGGAAGGGCAGCCACTTCTTCACACTTCAAGGAGGGAAGGTGCTTTTGGGGACATGTGATATCTGTTCAACAAGAGCTCCAGAGGACTGGTCACTTTTAGAAGCCAAAGAGTCAATCACTGAGAGCTGTACTTAGCACTTTACATAAGCACAGCCTGAGTTACCCCAAACCCGTGCCCTCAACACAGTACACATAAAGACATCACTTTATTAGGACATTTATTGGGAACACTATTTTCAACAAAGAAGAAATTATTTTGGGAGAAGAAAGCGATCTTCCTGCAAATTCTGGTGAAGGAACTTTGCAAAGCCTCTGCTGACTTTCTAATCTTTGGTGTTCCCCATAAAGCCAGCTCTCCCTCTACCCAGGCCCCTGCTCTGCACACGGGATGACAGGGCACTGGTCTTGTCCTTGGAGCTTTCTTGTGCTCTGTGTTTCATAGTAGGGCAAAGCCATTGGAAAAAGTGTTTCATCTTAGTTTTGAAAAGATTTTCAAGAGGAGACGGCTGGCCCCTTCAGTGACAGAGTTGGGGAGGACTTGCTCCCATGAGTCTTTTCTAGTGTCCTATCTTTGTGAAGGCGGTTCCTCCTCCTGCACTGGTATGCATCCAGCCCTGCACTCACCCCACCAGGATCTCCTGTTTTGAGTGTCAGAGGACACATCCTCTTTTCTGCTAGAGGGAATTTCTTGTCCTGGTACTTGGATAAGACATCTTGAGGGTCCTGGGCTTTTGCCCTCGCCGCATGTGGGTTTTTATGTTGGCCTGGGAAGCTGCTCTGTCCTCACAGGAAGCACCCTGGTCATGATGGCATAAGGTCTTGATATTCAAGTTACTGGAGGCAAGGGACACATCAGTGTGTAGGCCCCGAACCTGGCTTTGCTTCCTGCTCTCATTTCAAACTTCAACTCTTTAAACGGCTTGTTTTTACAGCTTGATGACTTGAGGTCTTGGGAAACTGCTGTTCTTCTTAGAGGTCTTTCAGTGGTCGGGGGAGTTTCTGGTTTACTTGTTCTCACATCCCTCCCTAGTATGCCTCCTGATTTACTGGTCATCAAGATGTTACTAGGCTGTGATTGAGGAACACAGAGCTCTTGTGCTTTGAAAGTCTCCTTGGACTGGTCACATACAGAGAAATGTTCTAACTTCACTGTCGTTTTTTTCTGAAGCATTTCTGTGTCACGCCTAGAACTCATTCCCTTATCCCTTATCTCAGGTCTAGCTCCAGCCAGCCTTGTGGGAGGCCTTGGGCTTCTTCTCTTGGCTTGTAAAATCTGCTTCTGACTTGATTTGTCTACGTTGTTGTGTCCAGGGGGCAAAAAGGTCTGTGTGCCATCCTTCGCTGCCCAGATGTTCGAAGTAAGCTCATGTTTGGTAGAAGAATGTGACCGTTTCAGGCGGCCCTGTCCTTCCTTGCTCACAGATGAGGAGACAGGGCAAGGACCATTCAAAACTGATTTAGTTGTTATCACATTTTGTGCTTGGAAAGCATTGGCACCTCCTCTAGGGGACTTGTAGACCCCTATTTTAGGATGCACCCCAGATACACTATTGTCTGATGTGGGAAAGTGGGAATCAGAAAGGGCCAGAGATGGGTCCTTTTTTGTGCTGAAGATTTCTGTGGATTTCTGGATCTTGTGTGGAAGGTCACACACCATTCTGGTATGAAAAGTCTTACTGACTTACCAACATCTTTGGTTTGCTGTTGCTGAGGGAGGAAATATTCTGAGAGGTATTCAGGTATCTACCCTTACCCACCAATGGTGCCAGATGTCTGTCTTTTATTTGTCTGGGGGATTTTTCAGGTAAAGAAGGTGTCAGATTGGTAGAATACCATGATCTCTGCACGGTGTCAGGGATGTGACCCTTACACATTTCCTCAAATTTCTTGCCCAAATGTACATCTAAGTCTTTTGTAAGTTGTTTCTGTCTTAAACTCACACGTGATGCCTGTGAGGTTTTCCCTGTCAGCCTCTCCAGGTGACTTTCCAGGTTTGTCTCTGAGCCACAGCCCAGAACACTTTCTGAATTCTCACCTAGGTCACTCAACAGATTATCTTTGGAGCCAATCTCTGGACTATGTTCTTGTTTCTTCCCCATTCCCTTGTCCAGAAGAAGCTTTTCTTGGTTCCTCTCATGAATGCTGGGTTTGCTCAAGTCAAAATTATCAAGATTTTTGCTGCTCTGACCCTTAAGCAAAGAAAGGCAGGAGAGCCCATGACTACCCTTTGACTCAGAGGTTACAGGACCCTGTTCCTGAGCACACACTGCTGATGGAGACTTAGGAGCTCTGTGGGCCAAGCCCCACTGGTGTGGACTGAGTTTTGTTTGAAGGTGGTACTCTGGTTTCTTCCTCGGCTCAGTGTTGAAGGTGGAATCTTTTGGAAGGGTGGGGCCTGGCATATGAGCTTTGGAGGACTGGGTGACCGACGAAAGCTTGAGAGCTGAATGACAAACATCTTCCTGAGAGTTTGGGATCACAGAAGGCAAGTCCCATACACTTTCCTGTCCTCCCAGTAGAGCATTACATTCTAGGTTGTGTATTTCAGATACTGTGAGAGACTGCACCTCACTCTGCGTGCTATGAAAACACACTTCATGGGGTCTGTTCTTGTCTGGAGGAGAATCTAGCAGGATTGGAGTTGGGGACTGAAGCTGGCCCTGTACCTGCACAAGACTGAGATGTTGGGCTTGAGACTCCGGCAGAATATGGGACAAGGACTGAGGTTGGTCCTCAGGCAAGAAGAGAGGAGGTGTGTGGGGGAAGGATTGGGGACTCCTGGGCTTTGGAGATGTAGGAGACTTCACTGAAGGGGTCACCTGAGGTAGGGACAAGAGGATTCAGTGACTGACGGAGCAGACCCAGAAGATGGCAGAACTGGCTATAGTTTTGCTCTAAATGATCCTCCAAGTTCTTAGGACCTGCAAGCTTCTGATTGATGTGCAGCTCTTCTGGTTTGCCTTCACTGATCCAAAGAGGAGAGGTGGGTGCAGAGTGCTGCTGATCTGCAGCTGATTCTGGCCTTTTCCCTGAAGTAGTCAGTGGGTAGTCTGCCTCATGTTGTTTTGCAAAAGATTTTGTTCCTTTTTCTTGTTCACTGCACAACAGGAAATCATCTGTCTTTTTGGTATCTCTCTCAAGGAGAGGAGGGTTATCAGATCTGAGAAACCTCGGGGATCCAGGTTTTATCTGCTGGGCTGTGCTGTGTCCCCCAAAGGAGGCTTCCGCAGAACGGAGGTCATCAATGGACAAGTCATCAGAGCTGTCATCAAGGGACAGAGTGGCTTCTGGCTGGAAAACAGTTTCCTTTCCTTGGGTGCGATGTGGCGGGGATGGGGGGTGGCAGGCGTCTCTGCCGGGGTTTGGCCCACTGGGAATCTGGACTCTGAGGGAGAACTGGGCTCTGGAGCCACAGAGGCACCTTGCGCTGAGGGTGAAAGTGGATCTGCTAAAGAGGCGACCTGGTTAGGAGGGAGAATGGAGGGCGGAAGCAGAGAAGGCTCAGTCAGAGGGGCTGGAGCTGGGCGCCCTGGAGAAACTGCTGGGTTGGCAGAGGTCGGAGTAAATGATGACTTTGTCACAGAAGCAGTGGGTGACGAGTGACATACAAAGTCAGCAGCCGCTTCCGGGGATGCCCGAGAGAGCAGACGACTGACCGCAGCTGTTGTTGTATTACACACTTCACAGAGGGGTCTGCACACAGCAGTTGTCTGAAGTGTGTGATGTCATGGTGCTGGCCCGGGAAGCTTCAGGAGACAGAAAGTACAAGGTTGTAGCCAGGACCAGTGCGTG